AAGTAAGAAGTATATATATATATATATATATATATATATATAGTAAGTATATATGCATGTACATATCATATATATCCATATTGCGATATAACCTTGAAAATGACAACTGTGATAAATAACCTCTTATAGTGTATCAACTTTCTTTCATGATATGTTTTTTATGACATTCTTATTCATAAATTTGAAAATTTTTTGTAACATAATAGATATAAGCAAATACTCATAACTTGTCTTTTTCTATTAATAAAATAATAAAAATTATATATTTTTAAAATAAGAATCAAAATAGAAATACCAAAATTAATTAATTAAGTAAATGAAAAAAGATTTAAATTGTAGAATTCTAATAGCAATAATAATAGAAATACTTACTTTAATTCACGACGATCACCTTTGAAATCTTCTGGAATAAGAGTATGCGTGACCTTGTTGATCTTTCTAGGTAAAAGTTTATTTACGTTGAACTTGAACTCCATCTTAGGTTTTCTACTGCGTCGGTTTTACCGATTCTTATGCGTAATAATATATTCAACGCACAGTCCTTAACCTTTCGACACTCTTATCACTTCACCTTCCAACTTTTTTTTCGAAACTGTCTCGGACGACTGTCCTGAATATGGCGGTCAATGACATCCACCAAGCTAACTTCACTGCGTGTTTTCCGGGGGAATTATGATATTTTAATTTTGTATTTCATAATATTATTCATGTTACAACAAAACGCAAGTATTAATCATCGAATGATTGTTTATTATCTAACACTCTCACAGTCACTCGAATTCTCTTATTGTCACGTATTTTATATTATGATAATTACTATTTTTGTTTCTTGATATCACAACCTTGTACTATGATATTTAATTCATAATGAAATCTGTATGTTATATATATTCTGATAATACAATAATAATCTGCATTTTTGATATGATGACGAATACTCATTAGATTACACGATTCCTCAAATCGATTAGTCTTGCACGGATATTAGATTTATTTCGTGATTGGTAGCTGACTAATAGCCATGGCTGTTGCGATGTCTCTTTTTCACTATTACGACTAACAATAAATTGCAAGAGAAATTAGATAATATGCACTGTCGTATTTTTGATAATTTGACAGCTAACCGATAACAATGATCAAAGTGACTAAAATCTTTCGGAAAAGTAAGTAATTTCGATGAATAATTGTATAGTTAAGATATTCGATGATACAATTAAAAAGAGAAATTTAATAATCACACAACATTTCACCTGACGAATCGCTGGAAGTCTCACAGTTTACTGGCGAGTGGTACGTTCAATTTTTTCCTGAAAGCCGCGAGTCGCGCCGAGATGCGCACGCACCTGAGAGCTGCGAAGCATGACCACAAACATGTCGACATTTTCTGCGCATGCGCAAATATTTTTTTTCATAAAAATAAAAATATGTTTGTCAAATTAACATAATAACGTAACAAAAATTAGTAATATCGCATTATAAATATATATGATTTAAGAATGATAAATTTTATTTATAATTTAGACATTATATTATATCTTTAAAGATTAACTAACTAAACTATTTTATGAGAAAGATTATATTGTATAATATATATACGTACTATCTTATTGTTTTATACTTCTAAAATTAACTTAATACTAATCGATTAATTTCTATTTATTTCGATTTTATTACGTATTTTATTATATAATTCTTTTTATGAACACTAGATGTCAGTAAAACATTGATATAGCGAATATACAAGGTGTTAATATATTCATGTGATACTTTTGAAAAATATCGATTCTAGAAAAAATAAACATACAAGTTGCTATAAAAAATATCAATTAGGATTTATTTATTAAATTAAAAGCAACTAAAGTTTGCATTAAATAAAATAAAAATAAAATGAAATCATTCTGTTTCCGTTATACCACCGTCATAATCTATTATTTTTACCTTCATCTTGTTCTCATCAAACTTGTAACTTTTGTTTGTTTTGATCTTTAGAATCAATATTAACATCTTATATATTGTATTTTAGGTAAAAAAATGAATTCATAAAAATTTTAAATTGAAATGAAATAAAAATTGATTTTATTTTTATAAGATTTAAATATTAAATATAAATATGTTTTCTTTTATAAAACATTTAACAAAACAATAAAAATATTGATATAATTATTTTTTAAAAAATTTTATCTAATCATTATCGTTTCGTTGTCTAGGTTCTATATTCTAAATTATAAGATTATAAGATATAAGATTTAATATCTAAGTATTTTACATTTTAAAATTAAAAAATAAAAATATTTTTAAAAAAGTTTATTTATATTATTATTTATATTTAAAATTTGATAAATAAATAATATTTAATATTTATTATGAATATTTCATAACAGTTAAATAAAATCACTTTAGTTTTTATTAATAATATAAAGTTTTATATTAAAAATATGGAACAGAAAATATATTCAATATTAATAAAAACGGATATAATTTAGAATTATATTTTTTTATTTTAGCTTTATTTTTATTTATTATTTAAAGAATAAAAAAATGTTATAATAATCTATATTCGTTATTAGCTATACTATATATATTATAATATCATAATTATATCATTTTTTGGAAAATTTCTTTTTCCGCTCTTCATTGATATATATACTATATACTATAAAATAGTAATTTAATTTTTTATATATAATCAATCTTTATTTATTAAATATGGAATGTTTATATAGTGAATGTTTATATAATTCTAAAATATATTTAAAAAAATATTAACCAAAAAATTGTTTAATAAATGATTAACAAACATATATTTATCAAATATCAAATTTCGGAACATTTTATTATTGGATTTGTGAACTAGTCATTATTCATTTATTAGAAAACAGTATTTTTAATTAACATGAAC